GACACCAGGCCCCGCACCCCCGGCTTCCTGTGATTCACCATGACTCTCAGCCAGCCAGTAAAGCAGAAGGTTTATTTAGATGACAGGAACACAGTCCAAGACAGGTCTTGCGGGCACAGACAACAGGACCCCCTCAGTTAGGTCCATCTTGGGGTCCCAGGGCACCACAGCCCCCTTGGGAGGTCAGAGCCCCGTCTGCCTCCCAGCCATGTCACCAGCCACCTCCTGAAACTCTGCCTTCAGCGACCCCTCCCACAGCCTTTGTTCAGTTTCCCGGGCAAAGGTGTCACCTGGCCTCTAACCCCTTCCTGGGTTCTCATGTTACATGCTCAGGTATCTTCCCTCAAGGCCAGTCTCCCATCCCCCAAAGCAGACCGTCCTAGCCACACTCCCCTGCCTTCCCAGCCAGCACTCCCCACTCAGCATTCAAAGACCACATTAAGAACAGTCCCAGTTCGTCACAGGGGTAAATTCAAAATCTGCTCTGCTCAATTTCCTGGTGCAAGTGCTGGAGGAACCAACTAGGGGCAGAGCTTTTCTCGACCTGCTGCTCACAAACCGGGAAGAATTAGTAGGGGAAGCAAAAGTGGATGGGAACCTGGGAGGCAGTGACCATGAGATGGTCGAGTTCAGGATCCTGACACAAGGAAGAAAGGAGAGCAGCAGCATACGGACCCTGGACTTCAGAAAAGTCCCCTCTGGAAAGGAGTCCAGGAGAGCTGGCTGTATTTTAAAGAAGCCTATTGAGGGCGCAGGAACAAACCATCCTGATGTGTAGAAAGAATAGCAAATATGGCAGGCAACCAGCTTGGCTTAACAGAGAAATCTTCGGTGAGCTTAAACTCAAAAAGGAAGCTTACAAGAAGTGGAAACTTGGACAGATGACTAGGGAGGAGTATAAAAATATTGATCGAGCATGCAGGAGTGAAATCAGGCCAAAACACACTTGGAGTTGCAGCTAGCAAGGGATGTTAAGAGTAACAAGAAGGGTTTCTTCAGGTATGTTAGCAACAAGAAGAAAGTCAAGGAAAGTGTGGGCCCCTTACTGAATGAGGGAGGCAACCTAGTGACCGAGGATGTGGAAAAAGCTAAGGTACTCAATGCTTTTTTTGCCTCTGTCTTCACGAACAAGGTCAGCTCCCAGACTGCTGCACTGGGCAGCACAGTATGGGGAGGAGGTGACCAGCCCTCTGTGGAGAAAGAAGTGGTTCAGGACTATTTAGAAAAACTGGACGAGAACAAGTCCATGGGGCCGGATGCGCTGCATCCGAGGCTGCTAAAGGAGTTGGCGGATGTGATTGCAGAGCCATTGGCCATTATCTTTGAAAACTCATGGCGATCGGGGGAGGTCCCGGATGACTGGAAAAAGGCTAATGTAGTGCCCATCTTTAAAAAAGGGAGGAAGGAGGATCCGGGGAAGTACAGGCCAGTCAGCCTCACCTCAGTCCCTGGAAAAATCATGGAGCAGGTCCTCAAGGAATCAATTCTGAAGCACTTAGAGAGGAAAGTGATCAGGAACAGTCAGCATGGATTCACCAAGGGCAAGTCATGCCTGACTAACCTAATTGCTTTCTATGACGAGATAACTGGCTCTGTGGATGAGGGGAAAGCAGTGGATGTGTTATTCCTTGACTTTAGCAAAGCTTTTGATACAGTCTCCCACAGTATTCTTGCCAGCAAGTTAAAGAAGTATGGGCTGGATGAATGGACTACAAGGTGGATAGAAAGCTGGCTAGATCGTCGGGCTCAACGGGTAGTGATCAATGGCTCCATGTCTAGTTGGCAGCCGGTTTCAAGCGGAGCGCCCCAAGGGTCGGTCCTGGGGCCGGTTTTGTTCAATATCTTCATTAATGATCTGGAGGATGGCGTGGACTGCACTCTCAGCAAGTATGCAGATGACACTAAACTGGGAGGAGTGGTAGATACACTGGAGGGTAGGGATCGGATACAGAGGGACCTAGACAAATTAGAGGATTGGGCCAAAAGAAACCTGATGAGGTCCAACAAGGACAAGTGCAGAGTCCTGCACTTAGGACGGAAGAATCCCATGCACAGCTACAGACTAGGGACCGAATGGCTAGGTAGCAGTTCTGCAGAAAAGGACCTAGGGGTCACAGTGGACGAGAAGCTGGATATGAGTCAACAGTGTGCTCTTGTTGCCAAGAAGGCTAACGGCATTTTGGGCTGTATAAGTAGGGGCATTGCCAGCAGATCGAGGGACGTGATCGTTTCCCTTTATTCGACATTGGTGAGGCCTCATCTGGAGTACTGTGTCCAGTTCTGGGCCCCACACTACAAGAAGGATGTGGAAAAATTGGAAAGAGTCCAGCGGTGGGCAACAAAAATGATTAGGGGACTGGAGCCCATGACTTATGAGGAGAGGCTGAGGGAACTGGGATTGTTTAGTCTGCAGAAGAGAAGAATGAGGGGGGATTTGATAGCTGCTTTCAACTACCTGAAGAGGGGTTCCAAAGAGGATGGATCTAGACTGTTTTCAGTGGTGTCAGATGACAGAACAAGGAGCAATGGTCTCAAGTTGCAGTGGGGGAGGTCTAGGTTGGATCTTAGGAAACACTATTTCACTAGGAGGATGGTGAAACACTGGAATGGGTTCCCTAGGGAGGTGGTGGAATCTCCTTCCTTAGAGGTTTTTAAGGTCAGGCTTGACAAAGCCCTGGCTGGGATGATTTAGGTGGGAATTTTTCCTGCTTTGAGCAGGGGGTTGGTTTCACGGAGTGGGGGGGAGTCAGGGCCCTGCACCCTCACTTCCTGCGATTCACCGTGACTCTCAGCCAGACAGTAAAACAGAAGCTTTATTAGACGACAGGAACACAGTCCCAAGCAGAGCTTGTAGGTACAACCAGGACCCCTCAGCCAGGTCTCTCTGGGGGGCAAGGATCTTAGACCCCAGACTTGGGGTTCCCTGCGTCTTCCCAGCCAGCCCAAACTGAAACCAAAATCCCTCCAGCCGGCTCTCTCCCCGTCTCCCTTTGTCCAGTTTCTCGGGCAAAGGTGTCGCCTCACCCCACCCCATTCCTGGCTCAGGTTACAGGCTCAGGTATCGTCCCTCACCTAAAGTCACCCCCTGCTCACCCATCCCCCATGCAGACAGACCCAGTGAAAATAGACGACATTCCCAGGTCAATCCGCCCCACTCCCGGGGTTGGACTAGATAATCTCCTGAGGTCCCTTCCACCCCTGATATTGTATGTCAGTTTCTTAAATGTTTTACTGGTTCTGCCCTTTAAAACTTCCTCTTACCTGAATCAATGTCAGAAATCACCTGTTTCAAATACCTGGTGTAATGGGAGCTGAGGGCAGCTGGAGGAGGTTAGGGAAACATTAGCCACTTTGCAAACATTCCATGGCAGCCTCCTTTAAACATCCTTTAATTGCCAAGTATTTACTATCACGCAAATGTCCTGTCGAGGTGCTAGAGTGGATGAGGAGGAGCCCTCAACATTAAATCAGCAGAATCCCAATTTGGAAAATTCTTTTAATGCTTTTCCTAGTTTCTATGCACTCCAAAATGTTGGACTCCGGACCCCAAATGTGTTTTATTACCTAGGCCTGGCCAGGGAACGTTTGAGTTTTTTTGGAGGTTAAACTGCAGTTTTCAAATAAATGCAGAGCCCTACGTGGCTGATAAGGCACAACCCCACCTGATAATAATGTCCATGAGTATCATGAAAACAAACTGATCTGTGTTTGTTATGTTGACTGTAATATTTACTTTGTAATTCCAGGTTAATGATAAAAGATTAATAAGCTTGTAAAGCTGGGTGTCGGTCCAGGGGTTGCATTAAATATTCCACTGATAGCAGTAATCAGTAAGGAAATGTTTGTTTAGGAAAATATTTTTGTGACAGAATCATCTAGGCACCAGGATGTGAGATGGAGCTGACATTTGGGATGGGAACTTTTCTAGCTCTTGTTATCTTTAGTATCAGAATTCTGGAGAGGCAGCAGCCTCTGCATAGTTAAGCTTACCATTAAATTTCAGTTTAGAGCTGAATTTTGCATTGTCTTTAAAATCTAGAAAAAGAATCATAGACCTCAACTCCCAAAAGAGCTTCAACACCAGCCCCCTCGACGCCTGAACAGGAACGCGGAGGGGGCAGGCGGAGCCACTTACTGGCTTCTCAGAACAGGGTCTGAGCCTAGAACCACAGCACAGGGCTCTGCTCTTTGAGCTAGAGGAGTAACTCCTTCACCCAGTAGTAGTTGGCTCTTATGCGGATCAGTGACTAGCAGGGAACACCTAACGGACCAGTGAGTCATGCTGACTTAGCCCCATAATTATAGCTTTGAACCAATGGGAAGCAGGTATCCTTCACCTTTTACAGCGAGAGTAGCTGAAAGCAAGGTCTGGAGACAAGGAAGATGATTAGACCTTGATTTGGCCCTTTGAAGTGACAGGAGGCAGCGCTGGGGATCGAGGAATGGTTGCTGGTGCACGGCTCGGACTCCTTAACTCAACTCCCAAAGAGCTTCACCATCAGCCCCCCTCCCAGCCTGAACAGGAACGTGGAGGGGATGAGCTGAAGGAGTATCTCCTTCACCCAGTAGTAGTAGGCTCTTATCCAGATCAGTCACCAGCAGGGAACATCTAATGAACCAGGGGTCACACTGACTTAGTCCCATAAAGATACCCTTGAACCTAGGGGAAGCAGGTATCCTTCACCTTTTACAGTGAGAGTAATTAACCGAACTCAACAGATACCACAAGGTCATTAGTGGCCGAGTCAGGGCGAGCACCTAGGTCCTTTGCAGCCACTTAGCCACCCTGAAGAACTGGGCCTGCTGTCTGTGCTTGGCTATGCAGACTATCCAAGGAGGCCTGTCTGGCCAAGCCACCTCTCTAAAGCACCCTGAGACACCAGGTGAATTTGCCTAGCAAAGAACTGAGTGTGCCGGGATTTCTGAGAGCACAGGGAGCAGTTAAGGAGGAAAAGGACATTGCAGAGAAGAGAAATGTTTTCTTTGTATCAGTCTTCACCATGGCAGTTGTTGAGCAGATTGCTGCCCTGGACCTGCTCTTTCCAGCTCATGAAGATTGGGAGCTGTCGGGGCTGGGCGTGCCAGAAGAGGAGATACTGGAGCAAACCGACAATTTAAAGTCCCGACACCCAGCTAAGACGTTCTGCGCTGAAAGGGGATTTATGAACGAAGTGACTGAGCAACCGGCGATAGTATCTGATCTCCCATTGAGAGCAGGTTTTGGACTGGAGAGTAGCAGATGCGGGACCTCTATTGTTAAAAGGCTCTACGGGGGTCTAGGGAATTGCAGAGCAGTGAGTCTTACTGCAGGACCCAGTGAACTGCTTGAGTTGACCATTAAAATCAGACGATAACCAGCTAGCAGGGCACGCTATGAGACGGACAGCCCAGCATGGCTCTGCAAAGGAAATGGGCCTCACGGAATCTCTTAGGCTTTGTCTACGCTGGCAAGTGAAAGACACAATTTTTGTCATTCACAGGTGTTAAAAAAACACTCCTCCGAAAGACAAAAGTTTTGCCAACAACAAGTGCCGGTGGGAACAGCACTTTATCGGCATGACACCAGTCATGATTTTATAGACTTCTATCATATCCCCCCTTAGTCATCTCTTTTCCAAGATGAAAAGTCCCAGTCTTATTAATCTCTCCTCATACGGCAGCCATTCCATACCCCTAAGCCTTTTTGTTGCCCTTTTCTGAACCTTTTCCAATTCCAATATATCTTTTTTTGAGATGAGGCGACCACATCTGTACGCAGTATTCAAGGTGTGGATGTACCATGGATTTAGAGGCAATATGATATTTTCTGTCTTATTATCTATCCCTTTCTTAATGATTCCCAACATTCTGTTCGCTTTTTTGACTGCCACTGCACATTGAGTGGATGTTTTCAGAGAACTATCCACAATGGCTCCAAGATCTCTTTCTTGAATGATAACAGCTAATTTAAACCCTATTCTTTTTCAGGTATAGTTGGGATTATGTTTTCCCATGTGCATTACTTTGCATTTATCAACATTGAATTTCATCTGCCATTTTGTTGCCGAGTCACCCAGTTTTGTGAGATCCTTTTGTAGCTCTTCACAGTCTGCCGGGGACTTAACCATCTGGAATAGTTTTGTATCATCTGCAAATTTTAGCAACTCACTGTTTACTCCTTTTTCCAGATCATTTATGAATATGTTGAATAGGACTGGGCCCAGTACAGACCCCTGGGGGACACAACTATTTACCTCTCTCCATTCTGAAAAATGACCATTTATTCCCACCCTTTGTTTCCTATCGTTTAACCAGTTACCAATTCAGGAGAGGACCTTCCCTCTTATCCCGTGGCAGCTTACTTTGCTTAAGAGCCTTTGGTGAGGGACCTTGTCAAAGGCTTTCTGAAAATCTAAGTACACTATATCCACTGGATCACACTTGTCCACATGCTTGTTGACCCCATCAGAGAGTTTTAGTAGATTGGTGAGGCATGATTTACCTTAAAAACCATGTTGACTCTTGCCCAACAAATTATGTTCATCCATGTGTCTGACAATTTTGTTCTTTACTATAGTTTCAACCAGTTTGCCCAGAACTGAAGTCAGGCTTACTGGCCTGTAATGCCCCGGTCACCTTTGGAGCCCTTTTTAAAAATTGGCATCTGTGGCATTATTGACAGAATATCTAACCGTATAGATCACTGTTGTAACCACTGTTATATATTTGCAGCAAATATTGTATAAAGGTTGTCATGTGAGGTGTCACGGAGTCCCCGGGGCGATGCTCTGGAACTGCTCCCTACGAAGCCAGTCAGGACTCTGGTGAAGTCTCCTCGCTCTGAGCAGACTGTCTCCAGGGCAAGAAGCTCACACGGCTTCACCTTCCTGGGTCTGACCTTGGAGCATTCAGCATCCTCTGCCCCTCTGTGCGCTTCCCACAGCGAGTCCGCCCAGGTGGGGTCCTGGGGAAGCCAGAGGGTCCTGCACCCCCACTTCGCAGTCAGACGTGACTCTCAGCCAGCCAGTAAAACAGAGGTTTATTAGATGACAGGAACATGATCTAAAACAGAGCTTGTAGGTACAGAGAACAGGACCCCTCAGCCGGGTCCATTTTGGGGGGCAGTGATCCAGACACCCATGTCTGCACTCACCCCTCGTCCCCAGCCAGCTCCAAACTGACTCCCTCTCCAGCCCCTCCTCCTCTGGGCTTTGTCTCTTTCCCGGGCCAGGAGGTCACCTGATCTCTTTGTTCTCCAACACCTTCAGTTGACATTTTTGCAGAGGAGGGGCCCCGGGCCATTAGTTGCCAGGAAACAGAGTGCCGGCCATTCTCTGTCCAGACAGCATCACAGGGGCCTTCTTGGGCTCTGCGACAATTACACCCCCTTCTCCCACCACCTAGATACCTCAGAAATGCATAGGGGAAACTGAGGCACCCACACAGTATTCAGAGAAAACATTAAGAACATTCCCACTTCGTCACATGAGGCATCTATGGAAAGGTTATGATTGGCTATTTATAACTATGCTATCTGTATATGTGTATCATTTTTGTAGTTGAAGTTATGAATATTGGCTCTGTACTGTCTGTATTTCAAACTTGTGCTATGCTTCTGGGGAACACCCAGACAAGTTGATGTCAGCTCTGCCTAGCCTGCTTGCTGGCCCATTAAGAAAAATGTCTCCTGCTGTGAAGGCAGGGGTCTGGACTTGATGACCTTTCAGGGTCCCTTCCAGTTCTATGAGATAGGTATATCTCCATTAAAAAAAAACCAAAAAAACATCAGCTATACAATTGACCCATTGAGAGAAGGCAGATACGCCTTGTGACTCAGCAAAGTATGCCGGGACTTGCCTATGGACAGAACTCTGAGGTTCTTCCAGGCCATGTGATGGACAGCTTGTCTTTGGGACAAAGAAAGCAGAGACCACATGGCAAGAGACTATAAAAAGCTGCGGCAGCTTCTCCAACTTGTCTTCAATCCTGCTTCTTACCTCTGGAGAGGCTTTGCTACACTGAAGCTCTGAACCAAGGATTGAGGACCCATCCCAGCTGTGGATGTTCCAGAGACTTGATTTGAACCTGCAGTTTATTCTATCACTGCTACAAGCCTGAACCAAGAAGTTTGCCATTACTGTATGTAATTGATTCCATTTAACCAATTCTAGCTCTCATCTCTATCTTTTTCCTTTTATGAGTAAACCTTTAGATTTTAGATTCTAAAGGACTGGCAACAGCATGATTTGTGGGTAAGATCTAAGTTGTATATTGACCTGCGTCTGGGGCTTGGTCCTTTGGGATCGAGAGAACCTCTTTTCTTTTACTGGGGTCTTGGTTTTCATAACCATTCGTCCCCATAACGAGTGGCACTGGTGGTGATACTGGGAAACTGGAGTGTCTGAGGGAATTGCTTGTCTGACTTGTGGTTAGCCAGTGGGGTGAGACTGAAGTCTTCTCTGTTTGGCTGATTTGGTTTGCCTTGGTGTGCATAGAAACCGCAGACTTGGGCTGTAACTGCCCTGTTTTAAGCAATTTGTCCTGAATTGGCACTCTCAGTTGGGTCCCACCAGAACCAGCATCGTTACAGTGTCACATTAGATATCCTCCAATCATCTGGTACAGAAGCTAATTTAAATGTTAGGTTACACACTACAGTTAGTAGTCTTGCAATTTTACATTTGAGTTCCTTCAGAACTCTTGGGTGAATACCATCCGGTGCTGGTGACTTATTACTGTTTAGTTTATCAATTTGTTCCAAAAACTCCTCTAACGACATCTCAATCTGGGACAGTTCTTCAGATTTGTCTCCTAAAAAGAATGGCTCATTTTTGGGAATCTCCCCCAAATCCTCAGCTGTGAAGACCGATGCAAAGAATTCATTTAGTTTCTCCACAATGGCCTTTTGTGCTCCTTTAGCATCACGATCGTCCAGTGGCCCCACTGGTTCTTTAGCAGGCTTCCTGCTTCTGATGTACTTAAAACAAATTGTTGTTACTTTTTGAGTCTTTGGCTAGCTGTTCTTCAAATTCTTTTTTAGCTTTCCTAATTATATTTTTACACTTCACTTGTCCAGGGCCGGCTCTGGCTTTTTCGCCGCCCCAGGAGAAAAAGCCTCTGGCCGCCCCCCCCCGCCGGGGGGGAGGGCGGCCGGAGCCCTGGGGGGAGGGCGGCGAGCCCCGGCTGGGGCTCGGCTCTCCCCTTCTGGCGGCCAGAGCACCGGGGGCAGGGCAGCGAGCCCCGGCTGGGGCTCGGCTCTCCCCCCCGGCGGCCAGAGCGCAGGGTGGCGAGCCCCGGCAGGGGCTCTCCGCTCTCCTCCCGGCGGCCGGGGGGAGGGCGGCGAGCCCTGCTGTGGCCCCGCTCTCCCCGGCGGCCGGAGCGCCGCGCCGCCCCCCTCCAGGTGCCGCCCCAAGCACCAGCTTGGGTGCCTGGTGCCTGGAGCCGGCCCTGCACTTGTCAGAGTTTATGCTCCTTTCTATTTTCTTCATTAGGATTTAACTTCCGCTTTTTAAAGGATGCCTTTTTGCCTCTCACTGCTTCTTTTACTTTGTTTAGCCACGGTGGCACTTTTTTGGTTCTTGTGCTATGTTTCTTAATTTGGGGTAAACATTTAATTTGAGCCTCTATTATGGTATCTTTAAAAAATTTCCATGCAGCTTGCAGGGATTTAACTTTTTGCGCTGTACCTTTTAATTTCTGTTTAACTAACCTCCTCATTACAGTGCTGTTACATAAATCAATGGTGTCACCTCGTCTGGATGCTGTGTGCAGTCTGGGTCAGCCCCAGGGGTGGAATGATGCTCATATGGAGAGAGAATAACAGGTTGGGATGGTTACCTTACAGAGGTGACGTGGGACAGGGGACACACTAAAGATATACAGAATAATGACTGCTCTAGGGAAGGGAGATCGGGCACGTTGGTTCAGCCCTTCTCCTAGCACAAGAACATGGGGTCTGTTCAATACTGAAAGGCACCAGAAAGGAAATTCTTTCCCCACACAACGTGATTTGACTGTGGAACTCACTGCCACAATATATTATTGAGGTCAGTAGCTTAGCTGGATTCAGAAAATGTCTCGACATTTACGTGGAGAACAAGAACATGCAGAGTTCTAACCGTGAGGATAAAACTACCCCAGAGCTCAGGCTGGGCTATAAACCCTCCTGCTTCAGGGCATGAGCTGGGTGCTGAGCATTGGGGGTCAGGCAGCATCTTCACCAAAGCAGGTTATCCCCTCGCTGCCACTGCTGGGATTCTTGCCCCATCCCATGAGGCAGCTGGTCCTGGCCACTGTTGGAGACAGGAGTCTGGGCTACAGCGCCCCGGGCTGATCCTCCCTGAACGCCGGGATGGCAAAGAGCCAGCTGCAGCCTGGCCGAGGGAGACGGCAGTGATGGTGGTGGGCGGAGGACTCAGGTTCGTGCAGAGGCCCAGGATGGGCCCATTACCCAGTGCCTCTGCTTTTGATCTCACCCTAACTAAGGCTTCCTGATGGTTCCAGCTCAGCTGACGGGCGGGTCACAGAGTCTCTGTTTGCTCTGGGCTGGGATCCTTGTATTTGCCAGCTGGGCTGATTTGCGTGTTCAGCATCCTGCCCCCTCCCTTCTCCCCCCCTCGTGCCCCCAGTAGGCCTATAAATACCCCGGAGAGCCAGCGCCCTGCACAGGCTGAGCTCCGATCCTCATCGCTCCAGACAGGCGCCCGGACAGACAGACCGACAGACAGGTGAGTCCCTGCCCCCTCCTGGCCCTTCTCCCTCCTCGCTGGGTGCTGGGCTCTCGGTGGCATCTGAGCCCTGTGACGGGGCCTCATGCCCAGACTTGCCCTGTGTGAGTCCCTGGGGCCGTCTCTGTCCCACCCCTTCCCCCACCGCGCGGCCCCGGCACCCCGTCCCCTTGTGTCGGTGCTGAGCGTCCTCTCCCTGGGGCTCTGCTCCCCGCGCCCCTGCCCTGCCCTGCGTGGCTGGAGACGAGGGGCAGGGAGAGCCGCAGGCTGATGGGCCCTTGGGAACCAGCCCAGGGAGGGGGCCCCGCACAGCTCCCCTGCCCCACTGGGGCCTCTGAGTTGAGTCCCCCGGGCCTGGTATCTCTCTCGGGGCCCTTCTAGCCCAGCCAGGCCCTTTAACAAACAGCCCCAGCTCTGAACCGCCTCCCCCTGTGTAATGCCACACAGGGGAGGGGTGTCGCTCGGGGGGGTGTCTCAGGCGCTCATGACCCCATCTCCCTGGTGTGTTTTCTCCCCAGGGGAAGCGAGAAGATGGGGCCAGTCACCTACTTCAGCCTCTGCCTCCTCGGCTGCCTGATCTTTAACCCCTCACTGGAAGGTGAGTCCCTGCCCGGCCCCTCAGAGCTGGAGCCATGGGTGCTGGTTGCCGTGTTGGGAATTGGGAAGTGAATTCATTTCCCTCGTCACTCCCAGAGCCACTGCCCGTCTCCTGCTGCTGGGGGGTCACTGCCCTGGGGAGAGCCCAGGCCCTGCGGCTCCTCCCCAGGGAGCGGATGAGAGAAGGTGGATGAAATGCCCCCCAGGGTCGGCTCTTCCCATGAGGATTGGGTGGGACCAGTCCCTGGGCAATGGGCTCTCATCCCCCGTCAGCTACAGGCTCCCATCCCATCCTCCTGTGGTCCCCTCCCAATGTCCGGCCGTGTCCCCACGGGGTCCCTCTCCAAGGGCTGGTCATGGCTCCCCTCTAACCCCAGCTTCTCCTGCACCCGGCCTCTGATCCCGGCTGGGCTGCCCCATTCCCTGCACACTGTGCCTTTCTCCTCCAGACTGTCCCATTCCCTCCCCCTGCTGGGACACGGCTTCACCCCGTCCCTCTGTGCCCCCAGCCCTGAGAAGGGCAGAGCCTGCACAGTGTTTCCCTCCCCTCTGCCCCAGCCCCACAGATCCCTGCTATCCCCCCTCTTTATGCCCCATCTCCCTGGGCACCTCTCTCCCTTCCCTCCTCCTTCAACCCCCCAGTTTCTACCATCCAGAACTGGGCCCCTGCTCCCGATTTCCTCTCTAGTCCCAGTCTGTGCCAACCCCATTGCTCCCCCAGCTTCACCCCTTGCCCCTGGGTGTTCCCTTCCCCATCCCCCTTCCCCTCTGCCAGCTTCCCTGGCCCCACTGTCCCGCATGGCCCAGGGGGAGTCGGGGAGGAGCTCAGGGTGGCAGGAATTCCCTCTGCCCGAGGGCTGCAGCTGAATGGGGGCCACTGTGGCTGGCAGCTCCATATTTCGCCCGTTTTCCGAGGCTGGGAGTCCATGGGGCTCCCTGGGGCAGGGGCAGGGAGGGTCTATCAGCCCTCCCACGGTGCACTGGCTCCTTCCTCCCCCCAGGGAGTCCTGGGGAAAGGAGCCCCTGCCCCATGCAAATCCAGAGGCCCTGCCCTGCTGGGATCCCTGCTCAGGGCTGGGTTCCGGGGGCCCCGTTCTGCCGATGTGGGGTCTGGGCAAATCCAGCTTCTTCCTGCAGTACCAGGGCCTGGAGGGTCCTGCCAGCCAGACACAGCCCCAAATGGGATCCCGATGTTATTTGTGCTAATGGGAAAGCCACGGCTCTGCCTCTGAAACAGCCTCTAACCGCGGTGTCCTGTCCCCACCATTGCCCCCCAACCCCCTCTCTCTGCAGGGGCACAGGCTGGGTCCTGTCCCAGGGGCTGGCTACCCTTCCAAGGCAACTGCTATGGATACTTCCCCCAAGACAAAACCTGGCTAGAGGCTGAGGTAAGAGGCTGGGGGCTCAGGGGCTGGAGCTGGAGGCTGGGGGGATGGGGAGGTTTAGGGTGAATATCAGGGTCAGTGAGCTGGGCTGGGCTGGGGAATCTGCTCCAGTGGGAGGGGTGGGAGCCCAGGGCTGCACATTTCACACTGCCCCAGACAGAGCCCTGGGAACAGGCTGTGAGGGAACAACCTGCCCTGGCCAGGCTGGGGAGCAGAATACAATGTATACGTAGCTCCCGGTGGGACATGATCTCCTCTGGACCCAAAGCACTAGGGATGGGCTGTGTCTACCAAGGACACCAGGGACGGCCTGGGACTAGGTGGGGTCATGTCTCTGTGATGGGTTCCCCAGGGTGCAGCCTGGAACTGGGGTACCCCTGAGCCCTCTGGATTACCAACCTGGGCTCCCCCTCACACTGTGGTAATGTGACAAGCTGCAAACCCCTCAAGGTCCTGCACTCGCACAAACATCCACAGGCAGGGACACACCCAGCTGCAGTTACATGAATGCTTTCACCAGCCACTCATGAACCAGGAATAGAGAGACTCCAGCCAGTTCCCCACAGCTCCCCAGCCTGGGACCCCAGAGCTGTACCATCTTGCCCTGGTCAGAAGCCTGACGGGTGTAAGTATATTACCCAGTCTGTCCCTCCCTCAATGTGGAGAGGACAATGCACCAGCCCCTGTTCCTGATTAGATTTCCCTTTGCACTTCAAACAACACACTGTTTTAGGTAAAAAAATGTAAAATAGGTTTATTAACTACAGAAAGAGAGAGATTTTAAGTGATTATAAGTAATAATTGTATGGATCAAAGAAAATTACCTAAGAAATAAAACAAAATATAATTTGAGTTCTATAAAGTACACAGGATCTGAATCATGGAATCATAGAATATCAGGGTTGGAAGGGACCTCTGAAGGTCATCTAGTCCAACCCCCTGCTCAAAGCAGGACCAATCCCAACTAAATCATCCCAGCCAGGGCTTTGTCAAGTCAGGGACCAATTTTGTCAGAATCTAGATCTATCCTCTTTGGAATAACACATCCACTGCTTTCCTCTCATCCACAGAGCCAGTTATCTCATTGTAGAAGGCAATTTCATTAGTTAGGCGTGACTTCCCCTTGGTGAATCCATGCTGACTCTTCCTGATCACTTTCCTCTCCTCAAAGTGCTTCAAAATTGAGTCAGGGATCAACCCCTGAAAGGGGGTTCCAAAGAGGATGGATCTAGACTGTTCCCAGTGGTACCAGATGACAGAACAAGGAGTAATGGCCTCAAGTTGCAGTGGGGGAGGTTTAGGTTGGATATTAGGAAAAACGTTTTCACTAGGAGTGTGGCGAAACACTGGAATGGGTTACCTAGGGAGGTGGTGGAATCTCCTTCCTTAGAGGTTTTTAAGGTCAGGCTTGACAAAGCCCTGTCTGGGATGATTTAGTTGGTGTTAGTCCTGCTTTGAGCAGGGGGTTGGACTAGATGACCTCCTGAGGTCCCTTCCAATCCTGATAGTCTATGATTCTATTCTATGATAAAGGTTAACACAATCCGTTCTGGTCAGCCCCGAGCAATCATTCTATGATTCTTCTCTTCTGCAGACTAAACAAGCCCAGTTTCCTCAGCCTTTCCTCATAAGACATGTGCTCCAGCCCCCTAATCATTTTTGTTGCCCTCCGCTGGACTCTTTCCAATTTTTGCTCATCCTTCTTGTAGTGTGGGGCCCAAAACTGGACACAGTACTCCAGATGAGGCCTCACCAATGTCGAATAGAGGGGAATGATCAAGTCCCTCGATCTGCTGGCAATGCCCCTACTTATACAGCCCAAAATGCCGTTAGCCTGCTTGGAAACAAGGGCACCGTGTTGACTCATATCCAGCTTCTCGTCCACTGTAACCCCTAGGTCCTTTTCTGCAGAACTGCTGCCTAGACATTCGGTCCCTAGTCTGTAGCAGTGCATGGGATTCTTCCGTCCTAAGTGCAGGACTCTGCACTTGTCCTTATTGAACCTCATCAGATTTCTTTTGGCCCAATCCTCTAATTTGTCTAGGTCCCTCTGTATCCTATCCCTACCCTCCAGCGTATCTACCACTTCTCCCAGCTTAGTGTCATCTGCAAACTTGCTGAGAGTGCAGTCCACACCATCCTCCGGATCATTAATGAAGATATTGAACAAAACCGGCCCCAGGACCGACCCTTGGGGCACTCCGCTCAATACCGGCTGTCAACTAGACATGGATCCATTGATCACCACCCGTTGAACCCGACGTTCTAGCCAGCTTTCTATCCACCTTATAGTCCATTCATCCAGCCCATACTTCTTTAATTTGCTGGCAAGTATACTGTGGGAGACCGTATCAAAAGCTTTGCTAAAGTCAAGGAATAACACGTCCACTGCTTTCCCCTCATCCAGACCCAGTTATCTCCTCATAGAAGGCAATTAGGTTAGTCAGGCATGACTTGCCCTTGGTGAATCCATGCTGACTGTTCCTGATCACTTTCCTCTCCTCTAAGTGCTTCAGAATTGATTCCTTGAGGACCTGCTCCATGATTTTTCCAGGGACTGAGGTGAGGCTGACTGGCCTGTAGTTCCCCGCATCCTCTTTCTTCCCCTTTTTAAAGATGGGCACTACATTAGCCTTTTTCCCATCATCCGGGACCTCCCCCGATCACCATGAGTTTTCAAAGATAATGGCCAATGGCTCTGCAATCACATCCACCAACTCCTTTAGCACCCTCGGATGCAGCGCATCCGGCCCCATGAACTTGTGCTCATCCAGCTTTTCTAAATACTCCCGAACCACTTCTTTCTCCACAGAGGGCTCGTCACCTCCTCCCCATGCTGTGCTGCCCAGTGCAGCAGTCTGGGAGCTGGCCTTGTTTGTGAAGACAGAGGCAAAAAAATCATTGAGTACATTAGCTTTTTCCACATCCTCTGTCACTAGGTTGCTTCCCCCATTCAGTAAGGGGCCCACACTTTCCCTGACCATGTTCTTGTTGCTAACATACCTGAAGAAACCCTTCTTGTTACTCTTAACATCCCTTGCTAACTGCAACTCCAAATGTGATTTGGCCTTCCTGATTTCACTCCTGCATGCCTGAGCAATATTTTTATACTCCTCCCTGGTCATTTGTCCAATCTTCCACTTCTTGTAAGCTTCTTTTTTGCGTTTAAGGTCAGCAAGGATTTCACTGTTTAGCCAAGCTGGTAGCCTGCCATATTTACTATTCTTTCTACACATAGGGATGGTTTGTTCCTGCAACCGCAATAAGGATTCTTTAAAATACAGCCAGCTCTCCTGGACTCCTTTCCCCCTCATGTTATTCTCCCAGGGGATCCTGCCCATCTGTTCCCTGAGGGAGTCAAAGTCTGCTTTTCTGAAGTCCAGGGTCCGTATTCTGCTGCTCTCCTTTCTTCCTTGTGTCAGGATCCTGAACTCGACCATCTCATGGTCACTGCCTCCCAGGTTCCCATCCACTTTTGCTTCCCCTACTAATTCTTCCCGGTTTGCGAGCAGCAGGTCAAGAACAGCTCTGCCCCTAGTTGGTTCCTCCAGCACTTGCACCAGGAAATTATCCCCTACACTTTCCCAAAACTTCCTGGATTGTCTGTGCACCGCTGTTTTGCTCTCCCAGCAGATATCAGGGTGATTGAAGTCCCCCATGAGAACCAGGGCCTGCAATCTAGTAAATTCTGTTAGTTGCCGGAAGAAAGCCTCGTCCACCTCATCCCCCTGGTCTGGTGGTCTATAGCAGATTCCCACCACAACATCACCCTTGTTGCTCACACTTCTAAACTTTATCGAGAGACTCTCAGGTTTTTCTGCAGTTTCATACTGGAGCTCTGAGCAGTCATACTCCTCTCTTACATACAACGCAACTCCCCCACCTTTTCTGCCCTGCCTGTCCTTCCTGAACAGTTTATATACATCCATGACAGTACTCCAGTCATGTGAGTTATCCCACCAAGTCTCTGTTATTACAACCACATCATAGTTCCTTGACTGTTCCAGGACTTCCAGTTCTCTCTGCTTGTTTCCGAGGCTTCTTGCATTTGTCTATAGGGACTTAAGATAACTCGCGGATTGTCCCGCTTTCTCAGTATGAGACAGGAGTCCTCCCCTCTTGCACTCTCCTGCTCGTGCTTCCTCCCGGTACCCCACATCCCCACTTATGTCAGGGCTTTGGTCTCCTTCCCCCAGTGAACCTAGTTTAAACCCCCCTCACTAGGTTAGCCAGCCTTCTTGCAAAGATGCTCTTCCCTCTCTTTGTTAGGTGGAGCCCATCTCTGCCTAGCAGTCCTCCTTCTTGGAACACCATCTCATGGTTGAAGAATCCAAAGCCTTCTCTCCGACACCACCTACGTAGCCATTCGTTGACTTCCACGATTTGATGGTCTCTACCTAGGCCTTTTCCTTCCACAGGGAGGATGGACGAAAACACCACCTGCGCCTCAAACTCCTTTATCCTTCTTCCCAGAGCCACGTAGCACCTCACCCGGCTGGTACAAACAGTTCACCAATCTTGCATACACAGGATTCCCTCTTTCCCACTTGGGACCACCTCCCCAGTCCAAGTCTTTATCCTCCAGACATATTTTCAGGTGTTCAGTTGTGTGGTGAGTGAGGCCAAATGATGATGTCACTTAGAATATCAGGGTTGGAAGGGACCTCAGAAGATCATCTAGTCCAACCCCCTGCAGGACCAATCCCCAGACAGATTTTTACCCCAGTTCCCTAAATGACCCCATCAGGGATTGAACTCACAACTGTGGATTTAGCAGGCCAATGCTCAAACCACTGAGCATAGAACAGGGGCAGGTCACAGACCCAGTACCCAGCAGGGCTGTGTCTGGAGCATGGGGACAGGGCAAGGCCGTCTGTGGGGACCTCAGCTAGGAGCCAGGGAAGGCTTCCTCTCCTCATGGAGCTGGGGGAGGGGAAAGCCCCTTAGCAGGAGTGCCCAGCTGGGCAGGCGCCTCCCCAGGGCACCTATTATACTAAACCCTGCCTGCCTCTCTATGGGAAGCTGGGCCTGGAAGGAGGGACAGTCAGAAATCTTCTGGCTTTCCTGCAAGTCTCCCTCTGTGAGGCAGGTTTTCCAGACCTCATATCGTTCTTGGAGCTCTTTTCCGAGCTCTCCAATTTGTTAACGGCCTGTCTGAGGAGAGACCCCAGAACGGGACACGGTGCCCAGTGATGGTCTCACTAGTGCTGTATACGTGTAATACCCCCTCTCTGCTCCAACCCGATCGCCCTGTGCTTGCACGTTCAAGGCTCACACTTGCCCTCTTGTGCAGCACGGCACTGAGAGCTCACATTCAGCTGGTTGCAGCCATGACCCCTCAGTGCTTTTCAGTCCCGGCTCCCAGGCTACATCCCCCGGCTGTCAGTGCAGCCGGCTGCCTTGGTTCCTGGCCGTGAGACCCTGCATTTAGCTGTATTAACGCACACGGGGATCAAGTCAGCCCAGCTCACCGTGTGATCCCGATCCCTGCGTAGACCTGACGTGTCCGGCTCTATTTACCGCTCCAGCAATCTCACTGTCACCGGCAGCCTTCACCCGCACTGGTTTTGTATTGTCTCCCAGATCCCTGAGACAGAGACTGAATAGCCCTGGGCCGAGAACAGACCCTGATCCCTGTTTAACTGGCTTTGTTTCTTCTTGTCCCAGGCTCATTGCCAGCACCACTGGCATGGGGCCCATCTCGTCTCCATTCACAGTGCTGGAGAAAATAATATGATGGCCCATTATATCAAGCGGTACCACAGAAACAAGAGTCCGGTCTGGATCGGACTGTGGGATCTTGAGCAGGTGAGTGCCCGGTGCCCGCTCTGCCTCTGGCAGCCCCTCCCCAGACCCCTGGGCTCTGTGTCTCTGCTCAGTGAGGTTGTTGTTTGGGGCGGGGGTGCCACAGAGCAGGATTTCCATGGGAACGGGGTGAAAAGGGGCTGTAACCGCCTGGGTTTTCAGTCACAGGGTCGATCCCCAGCGCCCGGCGCAGAGTATGAACTGCTGTTATTAATATTCACATTCGTGACACTAGTGCCCAGGGACCCAGCACACCGGCCCGTTGTGCTCAGACCGTACACGCCCGGCACGAGAGTCAGCCCCGCCCCACACAGACGAGACGTCCAGACGAGGGCTCGGGGAAAGGGGCAGCCCCACGGGCAGAGCGACCAATGCGAGGGCACAGAGCCCTGGGAGTGCTGCCGCTCTGTGTGTATTCGTCCTCAGGGTGGGCTTAGTGAGGGGGGGGGTCACCTGGCCAGAGGCGCGTCAGCTCCAGGCCTGTAGGGGCTCAAAGTGAGCCACCGCGGCTCTTGTTTGGCCCCTGGGCCAGTCCAGTCGCCAGTCAGGGCCCTGCAGGCCAGTGCTGGGGTGGGGGTAGGGCTCTCCAGTCCCGTCTCTAGTCCAGAAAACAGGCACGTGCAGATTTCCAGGCCCGGCTCAGTCAGTGTCTTTCCCTGGGTACCGCTGCTGATGCCCCATAAACCCTGCACAGAGCTGCCCCCGGCTGCAGTGTCTGACAGTCACAGTCTGCTCCACACGCTGCTCCCCGGCTCCTGCTGCTGGCTCTGCACCCTGTTCCTCGGTGGGTTCCCCTGCATCCAGCTTCTCTGCTGCTCCGGGCTCGCTGTGCCGCTGCTTGTCCTCGAGCCAGGCCAACCCCTGCTTCCCCCAGCAGAGTTCCTGCCTCATTCGGCTCACAGGGCGTGAGGGGACCCGGGGGCAGGACGCCGGCAGGGATACTGTGTGTGGTTGCGTGTGTGACGTGGGACTTGCATGGACAAATCTTCTATTTAATCCACACACCCAGCTGCCGAGGCTGAACGGGACGTTTCTGAGAGCTCGGGGCTGGGTGCACGTGGTGGGTGCTGCTGGCCCTGCTGGCCGGCCGGCAGCCGGAGAGCAATGCCGCCGGTGGGACCGATGGGAGACGGGGGAGCTCCGTGGGCAGCACTGCTGGGCAGCACAGACGCCCCCTGCTGCAGCCGCTCCTGTCTGGCCCCAGAGCGCGGGAGAGGCTGGTGTTTCGGGGGGCAGTGACGGTGCAGACTCCTGCACGAGGCTCCCTCCAGCCGACAGGCTGTCGTCACTTGCTAAACATGCCCAACTGCTCTTGGCTACTCACTTCTCACCGTGATGAAATGCCAGAGACAGAGACCTCCTGGGCCACGTCGCAGCCTTTCACCCCTCAGGGGGCCAACTCAGCCTGGGGCAGCGTCAGCCTCTGCCCCCTCCGCAACTCCCCCTGCACCCGCCCATTGAGGAGCTGCCAACCGAGGGACACGGCCCCGTACAAAACCCTGGGGAATTAATAACCCAGAACTCCCTTCAGGGACAGGGAAGGGGGGGGATCAGGACCCACCCGAATCCCTGAACACACGGACAGAACAAGGGGATTGTCGCCAACATTCCCGGCTCCTTCCCATCGGCTGAGGTGCTGGCAGCCCACTCCAGGCGCATACGGCTTCTGCTTCCCTCCCCAGCAAACAGGCCAAGGGAACACACGATAGAGGCGGGGCCGTGGGCAGTCAGGCTTAATGGTCGGAGCAGGAGCAGGAAGCGGATCCAATACAAGGGTCAGAGCCGGAGTCAGGAATTAATAGCCAAGCCGAGGGTCAGAGCCAGGAGAAGACCCAGGTGGCACATCAAGGGTCAGAGCCGGAGCCCAGGGGCAGGGTAAGGAAGTCGGGACCAGGAGCAAGCCGAGGCGGCCAGGACTGAGCAGGAGCAAGGCTGGGAAACCAGCAGGAGCAGGAGGAGGAGCAGGGCTGGAGCAGGACAGGAGCCCGGCGAGGAGCAGCAGCACAGGGAGGATCGCGGCCGTGGCATGAAGACACTGAGCAGCCAGAGAGCTGCTGGGCTAAGAGCCGGCCAGCTGCCCTTCCTGCCCAGGCAGGGGGTGCAGTCAGTCGGGTGGTCTGCAGCCGGCTGGCTGCGCTGGCTGGGTCGCCAGGTGACTAATTCTGCTGCAGCCCCTGATCCCCGACAGTGCGAACCCCAGCTTCATCCAGCGCCCCCGTCCCCCAGACCTACCGCCGTGATCTCTGCAGCGGGGAGCAGAGTAACTCCCCTGTGGATGGGCTTTGGGAGCGTCGCCGCGTGGGTCTGTGCACACGAGAGAGAACGGGGGCAGCAGCGTGGGGCTGCGGGACAGCGCGTGGGATGACGCTGCCTGTCGGGCTGGGCTGGAGATGGACGTGGAACCTGAGGGCAGGTCGGGGTGCGCTCCCCTCGGCGATGTGGGGGTGGCAGGGGCAGGGGGTGCTGGAGACTCTCCCTTCACTTGCTGTTTTCATGCTTCCGAGGGCTTGGGCTGGTCCTGGTGTAACTTCAGCTGCCAGTAAATGTAGCCCTGGTTGTCAGCGCTGACATTTCATAGCAATGATCAGTGTCTCCAGTGTCACTGGGCAGCCTCTGCCCGTGCCCTGCCCATGGCCCCTCGGCTCCGGGGCACGTCTCTCGCTGTGTAACCTTGGGTTTTACAGGGGCTCTGCTCTCCTTTGTCTCTGCAGATTCAAAACTGGAGATGGTCAGATAAATCCCCGTTCAGCTTCAGAGCTTGGGAGAAAGGGCAACCTAATAGTCGGAGAAGAAATGAGCACTGTGCAGTGTTCAAACACAGTCTAGGTAAGTCGGTGGATCAGACCCACATGCAACTACAAGGGAACGCTGGCAGCGCCCTGACCACTCAGGTCCTGAGATACGATCCGGGCTGGCCCCTGCGCACTCTGGAGTGCAGATCCTTGCTCCTCTCTCTTCCCTGCCCCATGCTGGGAGGGCAGTCAGGAGAGACCCCCTTGTGTGAGCTGGTAAAACTGCTGCTTACCAGATCCCCAGTGTCAGTTTACATGTCTGCTCCGGTGACAGGCAGGAGATTATATATATATATATATATATATATACACACACACACCTGGCCCCAGATGGGGACTCTGCTGAGCTGTTAAAGGGTGATGGCTCTGAGTCGCTGTTGCACCCCTACTCCACTGCACCAGGGTGTCGATCAGGCTGAACTGTGCAAACACTGATCCACACAATGATGTGGGCACCAGAGCTGCATTTGGCTCCTTGCAGGGTCGTGTTACTCACAAGCATTCGCACACACGCCGGCTGCTTGTGAAAGTGCTGCACAGTCTCGGAACGTCCACAGATTGAGCACTAATGACTGTTCCCATGGAAACTGGCACCGGAAGGGGATCTTTAGCAAAAGCTGCAGCCAGGGAGCAGACCCCGCAGGACGTGGTGTAAGTGACCGGGCGCTCACAGCGCCACCGGGGAGGGGAAGAAGTTCTGAATGGCCCAGACAGCGACTAGCCAGTGTTGGTGGATAACGAGGGGTCGCTTTGCAGAGAGGTTTTGAACAGGAGAGGGGCGAAATTCACAACTAATCCCCCGCCTGACTCTGACCACTGAGTGCTGTGTCTGTGTGGGGCCTGCAGTGCCAGTGGGTGGGGGGAGCGAGGGGCAGGGCCGGGGCTCTCAGACCAATTCCATTTATCACTGGGACAGGCCTGGGCCTGCCATGAGCCGGGTGTGTTAGACAGTCACACGCTAGGGTAACAAGCAGCCCATTGAGCACTGGGCTCTGTAGTAATTGTTTAACCTTTGGTTAAAACTGCTGTTCGGGCTGCGGAAGGTTGTTCCCTCTGCAACGTGTTAGCTGTGTCTGGAGCTCCGATGCAGCTGCGCTAGCAGAGAGTGCACCTTGCCGATCCCGCCAGCCTCCAGCTTATTCCTAAAGACGGACCACAGGCTCCGTTCGGTGGCAAAGGCGCTCGGCCAGGCTGACTGTCAGCAAAGCACAGGGCTAATGCCCTGTGCAACGCGTCCCGGGGCACTAACACAGGTATGCTTGTGATGAGGGAAAGGCTCAGTCAGGGCACCAGGGTTCTGTCCCCTTTGCTGATACACAGATTTCCCTCCGATGACTTCCCCTTGTACACACTGATACAAACAGGTTACGTATTTCACTCCAGATGTTGTTAGGTACCACCCTGATTTTATACCTGCCAGTTCAAACAAACATCATCCATTCTCCTGTCATCCCCTCCTTAGCTTTACAAGAGTTGGGGAGTTCTTGTGCCCTCGCATGGGAATTTGTTTGCACAGTTACTTGGGAACTCTGGGTGTTCTTCTACCATTCTCTCCCGTCAGGAATGTGCTCACTTAGTTTAGCAACGCACCAGGTATTGGTTTTCTGCCAAGGCCAGGCCTACTCTGGTTCACAGCCTTTGATTCACACTGCTAGTTATGCTAGGGCTCCAGCAAGGCCTACAAAATATTCATAATTTGATACTTTTATAAACTATTAGGGAATTACATCGAAAAAAAATATGTTAAAGGAACATGAAGGTCCCAAAATCAAGGAAGTGCGAGACAAAGGCTGCCCATGTAACCTTAATGGAGCCCCTGGTACGTGTGCATCATGATACAGTCTTGAGTTACAGGCTCACTGTCCGTCAGGCCTGATGCCGGCAGATGGGCACAGCCAGGGCTGCAGTCACTGGACGGGGATACAGGCAAACAGCAGCAGAAACCCGCACCCAAGGGAACAGGGCACTGAGACCGGCCTATACCCCCCGCGGAGCTCCCTGCTGGGCCTGGGGTGCTGCTGAGGGGCTGAGCCCACCCAGCCCAGCCCCAGGACTGTCCTTCCCTGGGCGCTCTCTGGGCTGACTAAGCAGGAATACTACTGCCGGGCAGCCCCCGGGCACGGGCACAGACACCCCCGGAGCAGAGGGGTAACGGGGTCTGAGGGAGGAACGTGCTGTTCTGAGCACAGCAGGCCGGTAACACTGACTCCTGGGGCAGGGACACATCCCCTCTGCATGGCGGCTGAGCCCTGCCTGGGACAGATGTTCCCATGGGTGTAGCCAGACCCAGGTGGGCAGGGCCTGGAGGGGGCCTGGCTGTGGGGCAGCTCACTCAGCAGGGAGGGAGGCAGCAGCCCAGTTCCTGAGCGGGTGCCCCCAGTCCTGGGGCAGGGCTCTCGCTCTCTCCTCGGCCCTCTGGCTGGGGTGGGGGGCACGTGGGGTGGGGGAGGTAGGAGCAGTAGCACATGGACTAGGCGTCTCCCCTTTCACACTGAGCCTCGGCCTCTCTTTGCAGGATGGGGCTGCCCCAATCTGGGCTGCTCAGGGCTCCATCCCACCCTCCTCTTCCTCAGGGCTGTGCACAGGAGCTGGGATCTTCTCCGAGGGGCACGGAACGGGGCGGGGTTGGGGTCACTGAATGAGCAGGAACGGCCCAGCCTGCCCCACCCCAGGGGTCATTTCTGTTTTTCTTTCTAGGTTTTCAGAAATGGCACGATTATCCCTGTGAAGAGAGATTCTCTTTCATTTGTAAACGCAAACCCTAGGGGAGGCAGGTTGCCTGCACCTGGGGGCTCCCAGCACCTGGGCTATGAGTGAATTGGGTCCATCCAGCTCCCCTGGGAGACCAGATCCTGTGTCCCCGGCTGCAAAGTCCCTTCTGCAAAGCATCGCTGTGTTACGCTGTGTCACTCCCGCTCTGCTCTGCCCCCTTCTCTCCCGGTCGCACCCACGGTCTGCTCTTCTCAGCAATCTCAGCACAGTGAAGTGATAATAAACTTTCCCTCCAGCATTCAGCTCAGTGTGTGTCTCCTTTCTCGTGTTCCTGACTCTGGCATGGACAGTTCCATGTGTCGCCTGGCCCCAGTCTCAGCACCCCAGAGCCAGTCCCTCAGCGGGAGGACAGGGACTGAACAAGGAATGAGGGCCCTGGCCTTCTGGTAAAAACACAGGGGCATCGCTACCCCCTGAGACACGGCCCGTTCATCCCGCTCCCCTCTGCCCCACCCTCGGTGCTTATCCCTCCTGTCCTCATCTCAGTGCTCTCCAGAGCAGGACCTGGCTAGCCTGCCTGCAATGCACCTGCTCATCTTGCAGAGCAGGAATACAAAACAATAAAGACTGAGCCAGGACTCCTGGGTTCCAGTCCCAGCTCTGCTGGAGGGATCCTGTGTGACCCAGTGAACATCCCTTCTTCTCTTCCCTGTTATATTTATCTCTGTCCCTGACTGACAGGGTGTTCTCTGCCCCCAGCCTTCATACAGTCTCTCTCAGAGCGTCCCCTTATTGTGCTGGCCACAGGCCTCTCCTCCAGGAAAAGGGGCTCTCCTGCTTCAATCCCATTCAAATAGCAGCTAGAATAGTCACCAAACTGCCAAACCGAGTTTATTAGATTTCAGACAAAAATCAAACTGGCCTCCTGGCAAAGCCACAAACGTGAGCCCCGCTCAGGGATACCAGGGGTAGGGACCCCCCACAGTACAGCTCCTTTCAAGGAATCCATTGGTTTAGCATGAACAGGAGCCGGCGAACAGGGCTGCTAACAGGGGAGTTTGAGTGGGAGTTTGGAAGGGGAGGCAGGAGGGCGCGGTGCCCCGTGTGCTGTGTGTCCCCAGGTGCGGAGGGCAGAGACAACAGCAGCCATGAGCCAAGCAGCGGGGGACACAATGCAGATGATTGCATGTGGCAGCTGCGATATGTACATGGTCCTAGCGGGGGTGCCTGACCAGAGGTATGTCTGCATGAAGTGCCGCCTAATAGAGCTGCTGGAAGAAAAGATCCGAGGTTTGGAGATGCAGGTAGATACCCTGGTAGAGTTTAGAGGGGGGTTCGAGCAGCTGATGGAGCAAAGTCAAGGTATGGCAGAAGGGGAATGCTCAGGGGTACAGGTGGAAGCAGGGGCTATGGTCTGTGAGGGGGGAATGCCGGGGGGAGAACAAGGGCAGTGGAAGCACGTGACCGTGAGAAGCAGGCCAAGGAAAAGGAGGGCCAGTGAAGGGGAAATAGAGCTCAGGAACAGGTTTGGGTGTTTGGATAACGAGGAAGGGGTGCAGCAGGCGGTAACTGAAGGTGGGAGGGTGAGGAAGAAGAGAAGAGCGGCTAGTCCCATAGAAGGAGGGGAGGAGTTGATGGAGACAGCACCAAATCTGGGCCCCGGGAGGATACAGGATGGCATAAGGGGGATTATAAGGGAAAATAGGAATGGACGGGGGTTGCAACTAGAGGGAACAGGGGATAGATTAGTAGATCGCACTGTCACCAGGCAAAGGCAGGTTTACGTGATTGGAGACTCCTTACTGAGGAGGTTAGACAGGCCTGTGACCAGGGCGGACCCAGAGAACAGAAGGGTGTGCTGTCTGCCAGGCGCTAAGATAAGGGATGTGGACCTGCGGCTGAAAAGGATCCTAAAAGGAGCGGGTAAGAACCCCTTGATCATCCTTCACGTAGGAACGAATGACACGGCTAGGTTCTCGCTGGAGAGAATCAAGGGAGATTATGCCAGGCTGGGGAAGACGCTTAAGGAAATCGAGACTCAGATCATCTTCAGTGGGGTTCTGCCTGTTCCTAGAGAAGGGCAGCAAAGGGGTGACAGGATTGTGATGATAAATAGTTGGCTAAGGGAGTGGTGCTATAAAGAGGGCTTTGGGATGTATGGCCACTGGGAGGCTTTTGGGGACAGAAAACTGTTCTCACGGGATGGACTTCACCTAAGTAGGGAAGGAAATAGACTTCTGGGAGGGAGGCTGGCTCATCTCATCAAAAGAGCTTTAAACTAGGAATTTGGGGGAGACGGTTGGGAGATGTCCAGTTAATCTCCACACCAGATTATAACATTGAGAGGGAGGACGACGGACTAAGAATGGATATAGCCGGGGGGAAGAGATTGGACAAAAGGAGGAGGGGAGGGATGGATACTAGACTAATAGATCAAACTGGCGGTACGGTGTCCATACCAAATTGGATAACGAATGTGAGAGAGGCTAAACGGCATAAATTAAGCTGTTTATACACCAATGCGAGAAGCCTAGGTAACAAAATGGAGGAATTGGAGCTCCTGGTCCGAGAAATGAAACCGGATATCGTAGGAATAACCGAAACGTGGTGGAACGGTAGTCATGACTGGAGTACAGGTATGGAAGGGTATGTGCTGTTTAGGAACGACCGGAACAAAGGTAAAGGTGGGGGAGTAGCATTGCATGTCAACAATGAGGTAAACTGCAAAGAAATAATAAGTGATGGAATGGATAAGACAGAGTCTGTCTGGGCAATACTCACACTGGGTAAAAGAACTACTAGAGCCTCCCCTGGGATAGTGCTTGGGGTGTGCTATAGACCACCAGGATCTAGCTTGGATGCGGACAGAGAACTATTTAATGTTTTTAGGGAAGTAAATACTAATAGGAACTGTGTAATCATGGGAGACTTTAACTTCTCGGATATAGATTGGGGAACAAATGCTAGTAACAATAATAGGGCTCAGATTTTCCTAGACGTGATAGCGGATGAATTCCTGCATCAAGTAGTTGCTGAACCGACCAGGGGAGATGCCATTTTAGATTTGGTTTTGGTGAGTAGTGAGGACCTCGTTGAGGAAATGGTTGTAGGGGACAACCTTGGCTCGAGTGATCATGAGCTAATTCGGTTTAAACTAAATGGAAGGATTAACAAAATTAAATCGGAGACTAAGGTTTATGATTTCAAAAGGGCTAACTTTAATAAATTAAGGCGACTAGTTAGGGAAGTAGATTGGACTAACATATTTATGGATCTAAAAGTGGAAGGCGCCTGGGATTATTTCAAATTGAAGTTGCAGGAGCTGTCGGAGGCCTGTATCCTGAGAAAGGGAAAACGGTTCGTAGGCAGGAGATTTAGACTGAGCTGGATGAGCGAGCGTCTCAGACGGGTGATTAAGAAAAAACAGAAAGCGTACAAAGAGTGGAAGAGGGGAGGGATCAGCAAAGAAACCTACCTTATTGAGGTCAGAGCATGTAGAGATGGAGTGAGAAAGGCCAAAAGCCGTGTAGAGTTGGACCTTGCGAGGGGAATTAAAACCAATAGTAAGAGGTTTTATAGCTATATAAATAGGAAGAAAACAAAGAAAGAAGAAGTGGGACCGCTTAAGACTATAGATGGAGTGGAGATTAAGGATAATCTAGGCATGGCACAATATCTAAATGAATATTTTGCATCGGTCTTTAATGAGGCTAATGAAGGACTTAGGAATAGTGGCAGCGTGATGGATGGGAATAAAGTAGGGGGGGGTTGACATTACCGTATCCGAGGTAGAAGCCAAACTCGAACAGCTTAACGGGACTAAATCGGGCGGACCAGATGATCTTCATCCGAGAATATTAAAGGAACTGGCGCGAGAAATTGCAAGCCCATTAGCGATAATTTTTAATGAATCTGTAAACTCGGGAGTGGTACCGTTGGACTGGAGAATAGCTAATGTGGCTCCTATTTTCAAGAAGGGGGAAAAAAAGTGACCCGGGTAACTACAGGCCTGTTAGTTTAACATCTGTAATATGCAAGGTCTTGGAAAAAATTTTGAAGGAGAAAGTAGTTAAGGACCTTGAGGTCAATGGCAATTGGGACAAATTACAACACGGTTTTACGAAAGGTAGATCGTGCCAAACCAACCTGATCTCCTTCTTTGAGAAAGTAACAGATTTTTTAGATAAAGGAAATGCGGTGGATCTAATATCCCTCGATTTCAGTAAAGCGTTTGATACGGTACCACATGAGGAATTATTGGTTAAATTGGAAAAGATGGGGATCGATATGAAAATCCAGAGGTAGATAAGGAACTGGTTAAAGGGGAGACTGCAGTGGGTCGTACTGAAAGGTGAACTGTCAGGTTGGAGGGAGGTTACCAGTGGAGTTCCTCAAGGTTCGGTTTTGGGTCCGATTTTATTTCATCTATTTGTTACTGACCTCGGAACCAAATGTAAGAGTGGGCTGATAAAGTTTGCGGATGACACAAAGTTGGGAGGTATTGCCAATTCGGAGAAGGATCGAGATATCCTGCAGAGAGATTTGGATGACCTTGTAAATTGGAGTAATAGTAATAGGATGAAATTTAATAGTGAGAAGTGTAAGGTTATGCATTTAGGGATGACTAACAAGAATTTTAGTTATAAGCTGGGGACGCATCAGTTGGAAGTAACGGAAGAGGAGAAGGACCTCGGAGTCCTGGTTGATCGCAGGATGACTATGAGTCGGCAATGTGACGTGGACATGAAAAAAGCTAATGCGGTCTTGGGATGCATTAGGCGAGGTATTTCTAGTAGGGATAAGGAGGTGCTGGTTCCATTGTACAAGGCGCTGGTAAGACCTCATTTGGAGTACTGCGTGCAGTTCTGGTCTCCCATGTTTAAAAAGGATGAACTCAAACTGGAACGGGTACAGAGAAGGGCCACTAGGATGATCTGAGGAATGGAAAACCTTTCCTATGAAAGGAGACTCGAGGAGCTCGGTTTGTTTACCTTAACCAAAAGAAGGCTGAGGGGGGATATGATTGCTCTCTTTAAATATATCAAAGGGATAA